CACCAATATGTCAGTTTGGTATGTTTCATTAGTAGGAACAAATATGACTTTTGTTTGTATCAAGCCTGGAAGAAAATAAGAAAAACAGAAGAAGAGAGAAAAAGAGATTAAGAATATGTTTATATCTGAAACTTTCTGAATTACTGATCAAGTATCCTGGAATATAACGTGAAGTGTAATACAAATGCAGGCCAAAAACAAAGGTTAAACAAGAGTGTGTGCTCCTTGAGCATATCTGTGGGCAGAGTCTCTGATAATAGCTCATACATTCAAACCCAACTGACTGATACTTCTGCTGTCCTGGAAGAACTTTTGCAGACTCTAAGAGGCCCACGAATGGGGAACAACAGGTTGTTTAGAGTGAGGGGCATTTATATTTTTTTTTTATATTTGCATATATGTTTATGTAGATATATGATATAGAAATTTATATTGACTATATATAATCATATATTATAATATATATCATTATTAATTTAGTACATTTTATATTTTTTCTCTATATAAATATATAACATTTTAAATGCCTTGATGAGATGCACAGGTCACAATAAAGGTCACCAGTTTGCAAAGTTTTAACAACTAGCAATTACATTCAAATTTTAATATACTTATAGTTTGGGCTGTGCTCTCAGTCTAGAAGGGATCTGGTAATATGCAGGGAATGACAAGGAAGCTCATTGCCATGCTTCCAGAGGGACACAGGGGACTCACAGTGCAAAAAAAAAGAGTTGCTAGTGGTTTTATCTCCTACAGCTGTGGAAAGAAAGCAAAAGAAACTATAGTAAGTATACATACACGGACCAAGAGAGCTCTCTTCTGAGACGAAAGGGCATATTTCTGTTACATGGTGCTCAAAACTGTAGATCAGTAGGAGGTGGTTTAGCTGAAAGCATTATGAACCATAATTACGTGACACAGTCCCATTTTGCAAAGGGATATGGTATTTTCTACTAGACCATGGCTAGGAATACATGCTTGCCAGAGTAAGACATTTAAATTCATTGTCTGCCTGTGGATTTCTTCATGTCAAGAGATGTCTAAGCACTCAGTACAGTCGCTATAGGAATGTAGTCATTGGACCAAGAATAAGGGGGAGACTCAGTTGCCTAAACATAGCTGGCTAGTTCATTTGAGGCATTGCATGCGTATCCAGAAGATGGAAACCTCCATAAGCCTTGTGCATACCTGCCAGCCATTAGTAAATATCTTGGATGCCCAAAGGTGTCTTAAATAGCAATGGATGCCTCAGTTTAGTCACATTTTGTGTTTCAGATATTCTGGACAGACTTCTACGCTCATGTTTTCTTAACACTAGTTCACAAACAGAAACCTACATGTAAAAATCTGAAGATGTGTTAATCTGAAGCTAAATCCCATCCCAATTTTTGATCAGTACAATAGCACAGGTCATAGCAAGAATTGAAGCTCAAATTCAGTTTTAAAGACAGTGAGGGCAGCAGGAGCTATGTGATTCTGTGATTCTATGGCTGAGCTCTTCCAGCTGAGATGCTCTTTACATTTTGTTTGATTTTACCCTACTAATGGAGAAGGCAAGCCTTACTGAGATGGCAAAGAAACACATACATCTATTCATTTGCGGGAGGGCTTCCTGTGAGGTGGCAGCACAATTACCATCACTGACTGTGTTCTACAGCCGTCTCCCATGAGGTTCAGTTTACTGAACTAGAAGTGGAGCTGAGTTTTGGAGACCACATTTAAACTTGAACATCATCAAGGAGACCCACATTTTTGGCGACTTTCTAACTTTTCATTTCCCGCATTCTTTCTGTGGACTGTGGGATTTTGAGAATCCCACAGTCCCTTTTTTAACATAATAGTCCTCAGAGCCATCCTGCAAGATAATGATACTGTTGTTATTGCTATTATTTCAGTTTTAAAGATGGGAAGTGGGCCACAGAGAGGCCATATTTTTAAGGTATTGCTTTGACTATAGACTGCCATAGCCTCCTGTGAGATATTAAAATCACCTCTGTCTCTAATTTCAGTTGAAAAATTAGACATTTTATGTATAAGTGTTTCTGAAAATCTCACAAGGGATCCCGTTTGCTGGTTCATTGCCAGCCTGCTTAAAAATCTGTTGTGGTTTGCTGAAGGTGACACGGGATATTCGGGTGCTAGTTCTCCCCTCTCTCTCACTCCTCAGCTCAATTTGATTTTGGCCATTTGTCCAATTTCCCCTAGCACCAACCCCGGACTCAGCCTCACAGTCCATCCTGCACTCACACACATGGTGGGAAGGGATTCTCCTATTCACCTGTTTTGGCCCTGCATGCAGCAAAACTGCAAGTTGTTGCTTTGCAAAGAAATGCCTCTCTCTGTCCCTCAAGGAACTATTGCTCATAGTCCTGCCTTCATCTTGCATTTTTACCATTAAAAACCTACCCACATGATGTCTTAGTACTGTGGGTTGCTATTCCCACATATGTAAGTTAATCACTTAAGCACATCCTATGAAAAGGGTACCACAGCCTTTATAATTTTTTTAACTAGAGACAGACGACAAGGAAAATAATTAATCTTTGTTCACTCTATAACCAGTTTTTCCAAACATGAAAACTGCTAAGAATATTCTTTTCTCTACAGAAAACAAATCAATTTCCTTCTAGTTTATTTTTAATAGTAAATTTATCATTAATTAACCCTGAGTGTGAATTTTAACTAACTTAGCTTCAAATCATAACGAAGAAAAAAGTCTTCAGAGACTCTTGTTCAGATAAATTTCAAATAAGGGAGGAATATATTTGAGCTATTCATCAATAAACTAGTTGTAATTCGAAATATTAATATTAGATAAGAGTTGCGAACAAATCCTTTTATTCTCAAACTAATTTAGATTTCTTTTTGACATGGACCAACATGTACATTTGGGACAATACTAATAAGCAAGAAGTTGTTTCATCCACCAATTAGATAAAGTTTTCCTCTGATTATATAAGGAGAACTTGGCCAGCTGCCTTCAAACACCTTTGTGAGAGAATTGCTCGAGAAAGGGGAACTTAGAGAAAAATAGAGCCTAACAGAAGTTATGGCATTACAGAAGCTTGCTTGAGGTGAGAGACAGTTACCACTTCCAGGCTGGTTGGTTTGTGCGGAATCTGCTTCTCCACGATTCCCTTGGCAATGCACTCTGCCTTCCTAGCACGTTCTGATAAGAGTAAACAGAGTGCAGAAGAACGAAGACATCATGGCCAAACTTTGTTGGCTTCCCTGCGGAGGGGATAATCTGATGGTGCCGTGCAGAGGATGAGTGAATGGAGGGTAGAGCGGAGTGAAGACACCACGGCCAAACTCTGTTGTATTCCCTGCAGAGGTGGCAACCTGGTGGTACCCTGCAACTGATAAGCCACATAGTGGCTGGTGCTGGGCCAACAACGGTGGCAGATCAGTTGCTTCTGATACTTTGCTCAAACTTCTTCTCCTTCTAATCTCATTATAATACCAACACACAGCTCACAATGTAAAAGAAAATATATAAAAGGTGAACTAAGGAGGGATATGGTAGGAAGGAAAAATGGGGTAAAAACTAGGAAGGAAGAATGGGACGGTAAGAATGGAGGAAGAGGAACTAAGGAAGAAGGAAGATGAGAGGGAAGATTCCATCATAACTTCTGGATCAGTCAACAGGCTGAAACCCCTTCCTCCTCTCAGGTCAAGACACCACCTGAGGAGACTCCTCAAGATTGAGAGCCCTCTCCCATCTTCTGAGTGAGTGATGATTACACATTTGTACGCTAGGCCCTAGCTAAGAACCCCACACCGTAGTAGAGAATTTCCTATACTGACATCTAAAACGTTTTCTAAATGTTGCATTTGAATAAATTGTGCTATTTGTGAACCTGATCACTTGCTTTGAGGCAATATCGGACTGTAGGTCACAGTCTGTTGGTGAATCCAATACTGCCAGAATCAAGCTTATAGATGATCACGCTATTCGGGAACTCAATTCACTCCTAGGAAGGCGATCGGTTCAATGGTCAGCAGACTGTCGGTGAATCCGATACTTCCAGAATCGGGCCTATAGCTAACACAGTATTTGGTATCCCTATTAAGAGATGAGTCCAGTCGCCCTCAGTCCCTCTAACCTTTGAGAACTGTCTGGAATGCAAGGGGATTCATCTCTTACCAAATTTGCCCCCTCCCCATCCAACTGCAACAACTTTGCACGTCTATGACTATATATTCAGAATAACAAAGCTTTCAGAAAACAGATCTGTTCTGAATGTCAGAAGTGACTAATTTCCATGGTATATTGTATGATTTTCCAAAATTATAAAGTCCTATATGGGAAAATTGTGTGCTGTAATTTCCCCAGCTAGTAAATTCAAACTTTATCTCTGCATATAAGTATGTTTTATAACAGGAAAGTGAACTTCATAATTCATCATCTCTCTGTCACTTTATATGAATTTAAAATTCAGCTCCTGATCTTTAGTGATGTAGATAAGTAATACTGAAGTTGAAGGTTAGAAGTGGTATATTCATAAGAACTGTTATATACTTAGAAGAATTACCCAATAAAAAGTAGCTTATGGGATGCAAATAGTTTAGGCATCACAATGCAGTGCTCATATCCAGAGGAAAAGTATAGATATAACATCTACATCACAAATGTCTATAAGAAACTACTAAGGCCTGTGGAGCCATACTAACAGACACTAAGTGTGCCAGAAGAGGATGTCAAAAGTATAAGCAAAAATCCAGTAGTTTGAAGGACTTGGAAGAAGTTATAGCACTGTGGTTTTTGTAATTTTTATTATTATATCAATAATCTTACCTTACTTATTGTGCAACTTCATATTGAGAAAAGAATCAGATAATTTGCTTCTCTACTGTATATAGCTTTTCATTTCATATCAAATTAGCTGCAGATTTGATTTTTGTGTGAAAAAGATTTTAAATCCCAAAATACCAAGTAGGCAAAACAGGATTTCTGTGTTGTTTATGTTTAAATTCATTTCATTGTGGTAAATTTTGAAACAAAATATCTGCTCAAATATGGTCAAGAGGTGATCATAAAAATAGTCTACATTTTGAAAAAAATAATGGAACATGGAATATTTTAACATTTAATACTGAATATATCCCTTCTCTTTTCCATAAGGCTGTAGGAGTTTTGTCTTAAAACTTATGTTTTGTCTAATTTACTTTTGGCTTACGAAACACGAAATTTGGTCATGGGGCCATGGAGTAATGGTCACTGGTTCTGCTTCAGAGAAAACACAATGCTACCAGAAAAGAAAGGAATCATACTGCAAGATACAGATAATTGCACTTTTTTTTTGCACTTCTTGTCTGCTCCTCCCCTTTAGACCAAATGATACTTTAAAAAGGGGGAAGTTTAAGGGGAAGGTAGAAAGCAGCTGCTCCCAGTTTCCTAAGGAAACATTTTTCTACCAGCATTTATTGCCAGTAAGAAGAAGTTGAAATCATGGTATTTTTTGAAGATGTCATGAATACTGGCAAAAGGAGAAGATGAGATGCAACTGCATTAGTCCTTCTGAAGGAGAAGCAGCTAAGAGAAAGGCAGTGATAGCTAAGCCTACCAGCTGGTCCAAGGCAGCAATTATCTGCTAAACCAGCACTTCCAAGGATTACCCATCCAAAAGTCCCAGCACCCACCGCAAGCACTGCTGGGCAGAATAGCAAGACCTGTTAATGCCTGGAGTTATGTTGCCGCAGTAGACATATAAATGATAGATATGGTGGAATTGGATTTTTTTTTCACAAATAGAAAGTTCATATTTCATGCAGTTCATATAGTCCAAAAGAACCTAATGGGAAGTCCAGCTGGAATGTATGGCCAGAGAACATGTGAAGACTAAAAATGTTCTTCAGTTTATGCAAGTCACTTAGCCCAAGTATCTCTAAAGAATTTACAAACTTACCTCAAGTCACACGCTCTCCCAGGTGATCCATGGCTCACACATAAGCTGTATATATCCTCCAAGATGTTTGGAGGATATGGTATGTTGAGATGCAAGTAGGTATGGTGATAAGAGTAAGATATGCAAAGAGATGCACAAAGCTGTTAATCACTGCTATTCCTTGATAGATGTTTTTTTTTTTTCTTATACATAACATCCAGATAAATACCAATATTTCTCCAGGATTTTCCAGACAAACTTAAGAAAGATATGTGTTACGTTTGCTGTTCAAAACATCTGACAGTCCTGCAGCAAGTCAGATAAACCACCCAGTTGATTCTGTGAGCATGAATATTCATTATGAGCAATATAGTGGTATTGCCCTGATTTAGAGCACTGACAGAAGGCTGGTGGCAACAGCCAAAGCTGGCCCATAATGAACTATCTCGATCTAACTCATGGACACACACACACACACCACCAGCCTGTGGCTCATTAGGTCCTGCTGTTAATCTAGTGCTGTCCAACTGAGAACAACAAAGTAAGGGTGAATATCTGCTTTGTTTCTAATGCCACTATACCACTACATAAAATTGTCGCATAGCAGGAAATCAATTGGTTGCTGTTTTTTAAAATGTGAGTGCCTGAAGTGCTTAAACATACACATGAATTCTAGATAAATAGCCTAATATTCTATGGTGATTTTGCATGAGGTAGCTGCAATAATTCAAGGGACATTTGTTGTTATATTTTGGCATCTAAAACTAGGAAATGGTCTTTCTGACCACTTCAGAACACTTTAATTTTGTTGTGTGATCTGGAGTTAATTATTGAGGTTCCATGAAAATGGATTTCATGCAACCTGGAATTGGCAGAGGCCCTGAGAAGGCCTAAGCAGATCCTTTCCACTGAGGGGAGGGATGTTAGGATGATCTGTGTTGCTTCTACACATGAAATGTGGGCAATCAGTGACTCCTCAAGGAAGGCACAGCCGATGTGCACAGGGCGCACAGTCTGCTTTAGTGTTGTCCTCCCACTCATTCTGCCTAAGGGTTTCACCCTTCCTGAAGAGCATCCTGGTGACCATGAGGTAGTTGCTGCACACTGACCTGTACCCACATGCCGTGCTGCATGAGGCGATAAAGGGCAAAATCCAAGACATGCCCCATGAAATGCAGAGCTATCCCCACAGAGAGAACAAGGCAGATGATTGCTGAGAGCCACTGCTTTTAGCCTTAGCTATCACCTAGAGCAATAAACTGACAATAGCAAAAGGGCAAGCTACTTCTGCATGACTTTAACAAGATAATCACTTAGTCTACCTTGAAAAGTCTAAATTAAACAGGGCTAGGAAATGTTCCCAAGCACGGGACTTCGACTTTCTACACAGCTAAACTGGCAGAATGACCCAGATTGATGTCTCCCAGATGGTTCCTGGGCACACTTTGAAAGATAGCATGAGCCACGGACCATTACCAACAGCCATTTTTTTTATGTAGGTGCCCCTCTTGGAAAGTAAAAGAGCCTAGTGGTAGTGAGGAAGACTATACACTGGCAGTTGACCTCGGCACCAGAAAACACCTCTGGCTACACTTAATACCAAGTACAGTATATTGACATGCAGGAGGGCAAGCATGGGTCCTTGGCTCTGAGTGCAAGCTGTGTCTTTGATCTGGGCACACAAATTTCTTATAACATGCCGGAGCAGATTTATCAGCCTGAGATATTGCCAAATTACCCATTTCCCAGCTGAGAGTCTCAGCCTGCAGGGTAGAAATCATTTCTGTGTGAGGGTGTATTCTGAATTTCTGCTCTGCAGGAAAGGGTTTAAGATTAACTAGGCCAGCGAATGACAGCAAAATTCACTGCCTTGGAGGTTATGTCCCAGGTTCCAGTTCCAGCTCTGAAGCATGTTTATTTATTTTATTCAGTGACTGTTTAATATTTAATACATAAATACTGCTTGGGACAAGAACAGGAATATGCAACTCCCTCTTTTTAATCCTGACAACAGGATTAAAGACTTGTGCTTGCTTTTGCATTTTCTGGCCAGTCCAGTTCCTTCAGTTATTTGCTTCAGAAAAAGTTTCAGTTATTTGCTTCAGGAAAATCCAATAGACACTACAATTATCTCAAGTTTAGATACTCTCCTGATGACTGGTTTTGAACTTGTTCATAGTGGGCGGGTTGCCTAAAAATGGGCTATAAATTATGATTTATTCTAGTGATTCTTGTTATCCTAATGATTCAAGTTAGTTAATTAGTAAGTCTAATATAAGTAATGCTGTTGTGGTCATTCCCACGATGCCCCCTAGATATATTCTGAACTTTTCTTCATTTCTTTCAAAGAACCAGATAGAAAAGTTAATTAAAGGATTCTGATATGAACCTAAATTTCCTCATCTTAAATTCTAACTGCATCCCCTTTAATAATTCACTTGCGACTTCTATAGGTTTCAGTGATCCCATGTTTCTCTGCCCCAGTTTTTTATGTTGTCTATGGGTAACAGCATTTTCTTGACTATGGGTAGGCTTTTGAGTACAGCTAGTGAAAACCCAGCAGTTTTTCTTTACTATGTTAAAGATAGCCTTGGATGCAATTTTTTCCAAGACCATCAAAGCTCAACATTTGGCCAGAAATTCTGGGTAAGTGGTATCATTTTCATCATAAAGACCTAATGGGAGACTCAGAATGAAATTGTCTCTCAAATAGGAAGGAAGGAAGCTAGAAAATATAGCAAAGGAAGAACATAGAAGACCACATGAAAGGTGATCATTAAAGGAAATTATCTGAAGACAAATTCTTCCAACCCATTCTGGTCTGATGATCAGACAAACTCAGATGGCACAAAAAGCAGATTTTACTATTTCTTATTAAAGGACATAAAAGTAAAAACTAGAGTTAGATCTTTAAATCAAACTTTGGAAATGTCTGATGAGGTAGTCCCATAAGAATAATGCTTTGAAGAAAACTTTTTTTTAAAACTATACTTTGAGCTTGTCAATTTAGTTCTGTTCTAATCTTGAGTTAGACTAGTATTTCGCATCTTTCTTACCATTAAAAAGTCATCTTTTTAGAAAGGTTTAGACTTCCTAAACAGTTTCCCTGTGGAGCTTTAAGATTCTTCCTGAAACAATGTAAATCACAGGTCCCATAAATGAAACAGGCTCCTTCAGAAAATGGTACTTGCTAATCAGACCCTCAGGCAGGCATTAGATAGGTTAACGCTGGACAAAAGTGTTCTGCTGTAGGCAAAATTAAGACATGTGCATTGCTGATTTATGTTACTTGCGTGATTCTTTCCCCTTTTTAAGTAAGAAAGGCTGCGAGACAGTCCATCTGAATTAAGTTATTTTACTGTGAATTTCTGCCATATTTTGAGCATATTCCAAGCAGCAGTTAGATATAAATAGTTGAATAAACAAACAGCTACGCAAGCAGAGTTGAAAAGTCAGACTCACGAGATTATCAGTTTTCCTTGCAGTACTTTCAGCCTCCCCCCTTGCCAAATGAAATATGTGACAAATAACCTATTTATGGCTAGGAGTAGGGGGACTGGATTTGGGGATTCTTCATTTCTCACTTTCTACTCAGGATTCTGAAAAGAAAGAGAAATTAAATTAAAATTACCAACAATAAATGTCCCACATTTTGCAGTCCAAAACCCTTATTTATACCATTGCACATCACTACCCTACTATGGTTTCTTTATAACTAACTGTAAGAGCAGCCATATGATTAGAAATGAAATACTGGAGGTATTATAACCCTAGAGGTAATATAATGTAAAACCTACTCATTTAGACCGACTGTTATTCAAGATAATGAACTGAGGAGATGTATTTTATCCAACGTTTGCGTGAATACTACTCATCTGGCTGTTTCTCCCGACTAAAATCACAAAGAAATAGTCAGTCCTGCATAGTGAATATGACTTGAATAGTAAGAATGTTGTTAGAATGTCAGTCTTTTAATGCTCTCTACAAATGCAAATAAGTCTAAATGAATTTTCTGATTTCTGAGTAAATACATATTTTCACTAGGTTTTAATCTGAGGTTATGTTCTCCAAATCACAGGACATTGCTATTTTTTATTAAACTGGGTTTTTTTTTTTTTTTTTTTGCTTTTGCTGGCCTTTAGTCTATGTGACCAAAATGTTTAGATCTGCAAAGTGTAGCAGAGCTCTAGGGAGCAGAATGATTTATGAGTCTTGCTTACAGCTTGTTCAAGGACCTAAGTCACTGCTGAAACTACTGGGAAGAATCACATTCACTTTAGTGCCTTGAAATTATTCAAGAAGTCAAGTTGCTTTCATTTATTTTATTGCCAGCTTCTATGGTGTAGTATCAGTGTTTGAATGAATTGCATTGGTATTCTGTCACAAATGCGTGAAGGAGGTTAAAGTATATTTTAAAGACTCACTGCCCAGAAGTCATTTTTATGATACTCTGAAATTCTGCTTGCCTATTTTGACATTATTTATGTGTTATAACTTATCCACTTTAGTGGGAAATTTGTCCTTTAAATATGCTAGCTCTTTTTAAGTCTCTGTAGTTCATTTTCAAACTTAAACGTAGGTCACTGTGCATTTGTCTGCTCTGTGCCACATTTTCTTGTCAACATGAAAGTGATTTTTTCTCAAAATCATGGCGTTTCATTGTTGTTTTCCTGAGTGATGGTTGCATTTGGAAATCCTCTAAGTGTGATTGTGGACTGAAACTGGAGACAGTTAATCTAGGAACAGTGGTTTCGCTACCATTTAATTGTAGTCTCGTGGGATGAAATTAGTAGAAAGTACAGGATGCCCAAAATATTTACTCTCTTGGTCAATAAATTTAATATCAGGTTTCTTTTTGAGCTCTTTCTAAGTACTTGTGATGTTTGACCTATCCACTGTTCATATTGGCACTATGGAGTATATTTTTTGGACGTAAGATAATAGCTCCAAAGATACAGATAGTCAAATAGCTAAAATACATAATATTAGGCAAGAACTGAAGCAACATAAGTTGCTTTGAGAACCTAGGATATAACTGTTTGTCTCCCGTCACTCTTGGATAAGTATAATCTCAATTTAGTTATCAAGAACATTCATCTCTGATTAGGCAACTCTACTAGCTATCATCATCCATTATTAAATTTTCAGAGCAGGAGAAAAAGTCTTGTAAAATAGTAGAACTCCCCTCAAAGCTCTTATTTACCACAACACCTAACCATGGTTAAACTGCTGTTATGAAATCTTGTTGTTTGCACAAATAAGTAAATGTTTAATTACTCTTCTGCTGTCTGTATCTAGCTGAGGTATTTGTATTTATAAGCACCAAATACAGGTCAATCCAGGTTATGCAATAGGTAATTCATGCACTGTTGAAATGTCAGTATTTTCTGATTATGTTTCTTTCTCCTTAAAATTGTAAATTTAGTATGAAAAGTGATTATAGTG